GCAATGCTGTCTAAATACTAAAACTGGTTCTGTTTGAGAGCTTTCTCTCCTACCAGAGGCTCTGTGGTCACTGGAGGGTGGGTGAGCCTCACTGTTTTTTGTTTTTTTTTTTTCCTCTCTGGCTTTTGCTGTTGGGCTTTACCATGTTAATAGTCGATTCAAGTATGCTAAGCAATAGGCAAGTAAAGCCCCAGTTATCCAAGCTGGCTGGAGGACTTGGAAAGTGGAGCCAGAGTCAGAGGATTATGATGGGAAAGACCAGTCCCTAAAGTTGTTTATGAACTCTTGGGTCTGTCCCAGAGCTGTAACCTATGGTTCTGCCTTAAACAGATTGAACAGACTTTGAATGTTGACAGACATGTCAAAGTCCCTGAGTGGCCACTAGGTGGCATACAAGTGAGATGGATCCAAATGGCATGTCTTGAAGACTTGCTGGTGGAACCACAATCCACAGAACTGACCTGGGGAGATTATATTCTAGAGCAAGTATAACAATATTTTCTGTAAGAGCTTAACAACAATGATAATCTCAAAACATAATTTTCAAAATGTCCCTAATACAATTTAAATTTCTTTACTATCCTAAAACAAAACAAAATCCCACGAAAGAACAACCAGAGAAATCTCAACGGCTATACTGGGATGAAACAGTATATAAAGTCTTAGCAAGGAAATAGGAGATATGAATAAGAGCCAAGTGGAAAGGTTAGAAATAAAACCACTTAACAATTTAAAAAATCACTGGATGGGTTCAATAACATAATGGAGATAAGGGAGGAAAGAGTTGATAAATTTATTAATAAACAAATAGAAACAATCTAAACAATATACAGAGAAAAGATCAGAAAAGGAAATGATTAGAGCCATAGGAACCCGTAGGACAGTAAGAAAAGGTCTGTTATAACATCTGGGTCCAGAAGGAGAGGAGAATGTGTACAGCAGAAAAACATGATAAGAAATGACTGAAAGGTTGCTTTATTATTAGAAGACAATCACTGTCAGCTAGAATATTAACAGGTTTTAGGGGGAAAACATTTGACCCTATCAATTGATACAGAAAATGCAAAAGAATTCAACATCGTTTCATGATAAAACTCTCTGTAAACTAGAAATAGAGAGGAATTCAACCTCCCTACCAAGATCATGTACAAAATTGCCACATTCTACTTAATGATGGAAGATTGAATGCTTTCCCCTGAGATTAAGAAGGAAGCAAGGATGTTCTTTTTCACCATTTCTGTTAAACATTTTATTAGAAGTCCTAGTTAGTAAATGAAGTCTAGAAAAATAAAAAGGCATAGTGATTGGAAAAGAAGAAATAAAACCGCCCCTTATCTAGAGATAATGTGATTGTCAAGAAAATATCAAGGAATATGCAGGACAGGGGAGAGTTCTTAGAACAAATAATTGAGTAGTTTGGTTTTAGCAAGATTTTAGGATACAGCATCAACACATAAAAATAAACAATATTTCAGCTAGGTGTGGTGGTGCACACCTGTAATTCCAATGACCCAGGAGGCTGAGGCACAGGATTTCAAATCTGAGGCAGCTTAGCAAGACCCTGTCTCAAAATAAAACAAAATAAAAAGGGCAGGGGATGTGGCTAAGAGGTAAAGGGTCCCTGGGTTCAATTCCCAGAAACAGAAAAATAAAACAAATAAAATAAATAAATTATATTTTACTTACTAGCAAGGAAAAATTTGAAGCTAAAACCTTTTTAAATTACACAAATTTCTCAATAAATAAGATGACTATATATAAATCTAACAAAACACATTTAGGTTCTAAATGCTAAAAACTATAAAATGTTGAGCAAGGAACTCAAAGAAGGCCAAATAAATAGAACACTATATCTCATGGATTGAGATAATTAGGATTGACTTACAGATTTAATATAATTCCAATCATAATTCCAGTAGGACATTTCATAGGGTAAGCTCTTCCTAAAATATGTATGGAAAGGCAAAGGAAAGGAATATTTAAAACATGTCTGAAAAAGAAATTGAATTTAGAAGAATCACATTACCTGATTTTAAGACTCATTACAAAGCTATAATCATCAAAATGGTGTTCTATTGGCAAAGAAATGACATTGATCAATGGAATACAACTGGTATCAAGAAATAGATTTTCACAGATATATTTCTTGGTTATTACTATTTCTATAATCTTGGTTGGTTTTGACAAATATGCAAAGACAATTCAATGGAGGATGCATAATATTTTCAATAAATGGTGTTTAAACTTCTGGACATTCATAAGTGTAAAAATGGATCTTGACCTAAATCTTGTGCGTTCTACAAAAAGCAACTCACAATAGGTCACAGATCTAAATGTAAAACATAAAAGCATAAAACTTTCAAAAGACCACAAAGGAGAAAATCTTTATGACCTGGAATTATGCAAAGGTTCTTAGACATGCCACACAAAAGCATGATTCATAAAAGATAGAACTGGTAAGTTGGATTGCACCAAAATTAAAAGCCTTTGCTCTGCAAAAAAGCACTGTTAAAATAATGAAAAGACAAAGTACTGGGGAATGTATTTGACCAAATTACATGTCTGTACAAATATGTAATAATAAAGCCTGTTATGTATAATTATAATGTACTGAAATTATATTAATAAATAAAAAGAATGAAAACTCGAATACACACTGAGAGAAAATGTTTTCAAGTCACATATCTGACTAATTATTTATACTCAATATTTAGGCTGCGCCTGATGGTGTTCGTCTGTGATCCCAGCATCTCGGGAGGCTGAAGAAGGAGGATCGCAAGTTCAAAGCCAGCCTCAGCAAAAGCAAGGCACTAAGCAACTCGGTGAGACCCTATCTCTAAATAAACTACAAAATAGGGCTAGGGATGTGGCTCAGTGGTCGAATGCCCTGGAGTTCAATCCCTGGTACTACCCACAAAACAAACAAAAATACTCTGTATACTCAATATATAAAAAGAACTCTCAAAACTCAAGTATGAGAAAACAAACAACTCAATGTAGTAGCAGGCATAAAATTTGAACAGATGTTTTTTGAAAGAGAATTCACAGATGAAGATAATTACCTGAAAAAATTTCAACATCATTAATCAATTAGGGAAATGAAAATTAAAGCCATGAAGAAATATCATTGTACACCTAATTAAAATGGCCAAAATTAACAAAAATAAAGAAACATCAAATGCCGGTGAATATGTGGAACACTGGACTTCTTGTACATTGCTGGTGGGAAATGCAAAATGGCTTAGCTACTCTGGAAAACAGTTCGGCAGTTTCCTATAAAGTTAAACATACCCTTACCACATGCACTGGTGATTCCACCCCTATGTAATTTAATCTAGGATAATTAAAATTATATTTGCAAGAAACCTGTTCTTAAATATTTATAGACACTCTAATCATATCTGCCCCCAACAGGAAACAACTGAAATGCCCTCAACACATGAATGAATAAACAACTGTGGTTCATGTCTAAAATGAACCACTTTCATTAATAAAAACCAACAAAGAGTTATGCTGAGTAAAAAGACGCTGGTTTCAAGAGATGAGGATCTGTGATTCCATGTATATGACATTCTTGAAAAGAGACAAAATTAGTGATAGGATACAGTACTGTGGCTGCCAATGGATAAGGATGAGCCTTACTATAAAAGATAAGAGGACATAGAATGTGGAGGTGGTGAAGGGGTATGGTGTCCTGACAGCTGTAGTAATCACACAAATCCAGGCATGTTAAAATTCATACAAATGAACACTAAGAAGTCAGTTTTTGTGTATCTTAATTTTAAAAATAAAGAAAAAGGAGATAATCACTCTTGCATCTCATTTAAGGCTGTCTAGAAACTAATATCAATTTAGTACTTGTTATGCCATCAGCAACTACAAGTATGATCTACCTCCACTATTTTTTGAGCATTTCCTACCTGCTGCTCACTCCTCCAGGCACTTTACATCATAACTTCTAATATGCACAATCACTCTTTAAGGTAGATTAGGCCCAACTTATAGGGGAAAAGAAATAAAACTAAGGTTAAGGGAAGTAAAATGATTTTCCCTACATCTCATAGCTGACAAGTGGCTGCATCTGGACTTGGACAAAGCTCTCATTGCTAACCTCATTCCCAAGCTCCTTCACGCTGCCACTCACTTAAATGAACAGAAGCAGTGGGAACCTGCAGGGGTTCATTATATAATATCAAGAGTGGGAAGTAAGAATCGCATTTTGACTCAGATATATCCACAAAGATTCTCTACACTTATTTCATCCCAAACCCTGAGTGTGTTTGAAATTATCAGAGCCTGAGAGAAATTTCAAAACTATAGTATTGCCATTGTCATTTTCTCACAATCTTCTAAGAGGAGGTTCTTAATTTATAATAGGATTGAATGATTATCTCCATTTTTACAAATGTATAACAATTCATTTTTTTCTGTGAGTGACTGAAAGAATCACTGGGATTTACAATACTTGACTAAGTATTTACTAACTCTTCAAGTTGCAATTTATATACCTGAAACAAAGACTAATAATCTAAAAAGTTCCCTCCTCCCACAAATCTGACCATTTAGAGAAACAAAAACTGGCTCTTCCTACTTTACCTGGTTCCAACACCATCATTGTTACCTTTGTCAGGTAATGATACCAAAAAAAGAAAAAAAAAAAAACTACAATAAGTAAATCTATTTTAGAGACAGACTTTAATTTTCAGTCTATTATAGTTATTGCTGAATAAATACCTGAAAGCATCATATATGTGAATAACACATTTTTTTTTCATGTAGCAAATGATACAAAAAACATTGAAGATAAAGTTTAATTTCCTGCTTGTGAATTATTTCCAACCTACTTAATTGGCTACCAGGTGGCTTTTTTCACCAATAACTTTTGACTAAAACATTTTCATCTCTTCATATGTTAGATAATGTCAATCTTCATATGTTCTATCACTGGTTAGAAGGTAGTCAGGCCCCAGAGGATGGTGTGTGGGAGAAGGTCAGCTTACCTTCCAGCAGGTCTCTGGCCAGACCAGGTTCTGCCCCCGTGGACCGAACAAAGTCTGACAGGACTGCGTCCATATCAAGCGTCATAGGATCATGTAGAAGTGCTGCCCAACACTCAGCCGAGGTGGGGTTTGGAAGCAGGCTAGAAACCATCCATCTGTATAAGAAATGGAGATGTGAGTGACCACACACACGGAGACCCAACAGAAAGAATGAAATGCTGCCGCTGGCATCTGTAGAGGTTTGAACTAGTTTGAGCCAACTCACTTATTCTTCATGCTAGATATTATATCATAAAAGTCAACTGAGATATCATTCCTCTGTACATACCATGTGAGAAGGTATGCGAGTTTGGATATTTGTGTCCCCCCAATTCATATGTTGAAACCTAACTGCAGTTGATGATGTTAGAGGGTGGGGCCTTTTGGAGGTGATTAGGTCATGAGCATGGAAGTTTGATGATGGGATTATTGTTTAGAAAGAAGCCTAAAAGGGCTCGCTTGCCTCTTACGCATGTAAAGATGTTGGTCAGGAGAGCAGATGTGCTGGGTACCTTGATCTTGGACTTCCTAGCCTCCCAAACTGTGAGAAATAAATTTATGTTTTTGTTTTGTTTTGCATTACTGGGGACTGAACCCAATAACTAAACTACCACTGATATATACCTCCAGCCTTTAAAAATATTTTGTTTTAAGAAAGAGTCTCATTAAGTTGTTGAGGTTGGCTTCAAACTTATGATCCTCTTGCCTCAGCATCCTGAGTAACTGGGATGGCAGATGTATGCCACTGTGTCCAGAAAATTTATGTTGTATATAAGCCTTTTAGTTTGTGATATTTTTGTTATAGCAGCCTGAACAGATTAAAGCCAGGGGTCATTATTAACTCTAGTGCCTCCAATCTTATATTCCTATCAATTACAATTACTGATGGGGAAAAAAGAGACTAGATTATTTAAAGAAAAAACAAGTGCCCAAGTACATGTAGGGAGATTAATTTGGAATAACTAGATTTCTGATCCTCTTTTCCCTGTCTTGCCTTTATCATTGTGCTGCCCCGCTTCCCTTAGCTCTTGCCCGTCACTTGGCTACTAGGAGGCACTCTGTGTTTGTTGGCAGTTGACAAGAATACCAAACTTGCTGAAGATGACTACCTTCATATGCCAAAATATATGCCAACCCTCTAAGAGTTGTTAGATTCACAGTGATAATCTAACAAAATTCAAAAGGAAATCAGATTTCCTAAGTAGAGTCATCTTGGTCAGAGGAATTCAGTGGTCATCTAGGAGCTTGACCACTGGCTGATGGAGCAGATAGAAAGCAGCCATTACTCTGCATATGAAAGTGACTCTCATTAGTGAAGTAGTTTAGGGGCCATTGATGGGTCTCAGTCATGACTGATAAGTACAAATGCATCCAAATTTGTATAGATAAGGGGTCAGTACATTATGGCCTGTAGACCAAATGTGACCCTCCACCTGTTCTTATATGTAAAGTTTTATTGGGGCACAGCCATACTAATTGATTTATATAATGTCTGTGGCTGTTTTTGTTCATGGCTTAGTAAGGTATTTAAAATAGAGACCATAAGGCCCACATTACTGAAAATATTTTCTAGTTGAGCCTTTATAGAAAAAAATTTGCTTTTATTTTATAAGTAACCAGAACTTACTGACCCCAGTATATATGATGAAAATTTTATACTTAGCAAACATGTAATTGAATTTACACACTGTGTGATAAGTTTAAATCCCCTGCATTAATGAATGTGCTTTGTCCTCCTTTCATGATGACCACAGGGATGGGCATTGTTCAGTGGGGCAGGTTCTATGGCAGTTGCTAGGGTGTTAAAGCCAAGCACACTGGCCTAGTTTGAGCCCAGTTCTGTTCCTTATCAGCTGTGACATGGTCATTGGTGAGCTCTGGGCCCATCTGGGATTCAGTCAGAATGGAAGAAATAAAGTTATCTATGCTCAAACTCTTGAGGACTAAGTGTCTCAGGCAGGGAGGTCTATAACTGGAACTATCCATTGTTATTCACCACTTTGTACATGGTTCATACTTGGGTGTAAGTTTTTATTGGTATGGCTAAAAATGAATAAAATTGTTTGACCTGATGTATATAGTACCAATTAGGAAATTTCCTTCTTCCTTCTCTCCATGTACCGGAGCCTCGGCCTGGAGAGTTTTTTCTGTCAGTGCCACCTGTGGGACAAATCAGAGAATAAGGGCATGTTATTCTCCTTACCCTGGAAAACTTTGCTTCTTGTCACAGGAGGCTACATCTGGGGTGGGGCCAACAGCTGGAGGCATGTCCTCTGCCTTCCCAGGTGCTACATGCACTTGCTGACCACATCTACCACATCTACTCCTCTGTATCTCATACTTAATGTAAAATAGAGGTGAAGGGTAGGCATAAGATGAACGCTTTTGTGTGACAAGGTTTCTGCTTTAAGACTTAATTCTTAAACCTAACGTCACCATGGCCATGATTTCAAATTCATGCCCTTTGAAGAGAGGGGAGGACAGTGGTCAATAAGGACCATCAGCCACCCTTGCCCTGCTGTGCCTCTTCAAAGTGCACTGCTGGGCCTTATGACCTACTCAGCAGGTCATACTTTCTTAATCATACCATTAAGATATGATACCACATCAATACAGTTCAACTTAGCTATAGTGGTAAAATACGTAAACACGAAATATATTGGCCCAGAGCACATTCTCAATAAACATGAACTATTACTTATCTCTTATTCAACAGAGATTCTGGGACCACCCTCTCCATTCTAGAACTCCACTGAGAGCCAAGACTGCTGCTACCAGCCTTCTTAAGGCAGAAAGAAGGGGCCCACCTCTAACTGTGGCTCCGAATCATTGTGTCCATGCTGAATGGAGGTTCTTGCCTTCAATACCATAGTCTTTTCGGTACCTGAGCTCTTATTTTATAAGTAACCAGAACTTACTGAGCTGCTATTTTATTTAGGCCACTGTTATAGGGACTGTGATGGTCCCTTGGGCCTTCCCCAGGAGTTTCTAAGCAGAGAGAGACAGGTGCACACATAGGCACAGGCCTCTGAGACTGACTGTTAGATTTGGGAGACTATCAAGTAGAGGAGCTGTTCTAACCAAAGAGAGCAAAATTGAAGGACAGAGGTATATCAGGGTAAAGATGAAAATTGCCTCAGTTAATTTTCCATTAACTTCTGTTTCAGTGGAACCCAAGTAAAACATGCCTGTAATATTTTTGTCAGCAGATGTTATAATTGGAGTCTGGAAGGTACGAACTTGTGGTGAGTGGAGATTGAAACTGGAGATTAGGAGTAGAGGCTTGTGGTCTGACCACTGAAGACAGAGGAAGGCTAGGATGGGGATGAGTGCCTACCTAGGGCTACCCCAGAGCTGCAAGATGGGATGGGATAGACTGTATCTTGTATGTAACATCTCTTCTGATAGAGGGCCAGGAGCCTAAGGGCTATTTTATTCTCCTTTCTATTCTCCAAGTTTCAGAATGCCTGGCACCCAGCAGGGTCAGGATCAAGGTGAGGCAAGCAAGGTACCTGCCACAGGTGCAAGGGGATGCAAAACCAGTCAGAAACCAAGATCAACAATATTTTAGTGCAATGTTTTTTGTTTTTTTTTAATGAGGGCAAATACATCCTTGAAGAACACAATATCAGCATTTTCAATGAAGGCATGATTTGCAAGACAGTTCTCCCTTTTGCCTCAGGCTCTGGAGGTCTGGCGAGCATTGGCACACATTCAGAATTGCTGACTGGTGCTTGGGAGGCAGGTTGAGGGAACATACATTATAGCTACAAAGACTGATGTTCAGAGGGAGCCAACTTTGGGTCAGGGTTGCACAGGTTAAGTGGGGAGCAGGAAACTCGTCTAGGTCTGTCTGATGATGCAGCCTATAGCACACAGACACAAAAGAGCAGAGAGAATAGATCTGAGGTTGAGCACCGGATTGGGAGTCAATGTCCTGACTGGGTGCAAATCTGCTACTGCAACCTTGCTGTATGACCTGGGCAAGTCCATGTCACTTCATGGAGCCTAGGTTTCCTCATCTGAATAATGAGGGTAAGAACACCCTTGTCTCTCAAAATTGCTGTAAGGAGGAAATAAAATTATATCAAAAGAAGATGCACTATTATTACTATTATTAACACAGATTTAAAATAATTTAATGTATTATTCTGGTATTGGGAATCTTCATTCTACTTCCATGTATGCATACATCTCTATGTGGAGGATAAAATGCGAAAAAGCGTCACAGATACCTAGATCTTGTCCTGCCTGGTGATGAAGACCACCCTGGTGAAGAATTGACAGATGTACAGACTCCCTCAGTGGGATTAACTGGTGGTCTCAACTCAGATCTATCTTTCCTTCTGTTCTTCTTTCCTTCCTTGGTACTGGGGATTGAACCCAGGGTTTACCACTGAGCTATATCCCCATTAAGCTATATCCCTAGTCCTTTTTGATTTTGTTTTTTAGTTGTTGATAGTCCTTTATTTATTTTACGTGATGCTGAGAATCAAACCGAGTGCCTCACACATGCCAGGCAATTGCGCTACCACTGAGCCCCAGCCCCAGCCCCCTAGTCCTTTTTACTTATTATTTGAGACAGGGCCTTGCTAAGTTTCTGAGGCTGGCCTTGAGCTTGTAAACCTCCTGCCTCAGCCTCTAAAATTGCTGGGATTACAGGTATGCACCACCTGATCCAGAAGATATCATCTTTTTTCTTTCTAGGAGTCTGCTTGGTCCATCCTTTGTCAGCCACCATTGAGCTTTTGGACAAAGCAGCGACATAGGTTTTTGTGGATATCACATTAGCAAACTGCATCTTATAGGACATTTTCATGGTTCAGAGGAAAATTAAGAGAGCATTTCTATGAAGGGCATGAGTCTGGCTTTGCAAAGCATTCATATGCACAGGACATGTAGTCATTTTCAAGGTGTATTCACATATATGACTTTAGTTGATGCCAACAAGCTAAAGATAGGTCCAAGAATAATTTTGGCTGCAACAAAGCAATTTTACCAGGAAATTCAGCCTAAAAAGCCTGAGAGGGCTTAAGAAGAGAGGGCTAGCAAGATCGCTACAGACGGGCTGGCCTGAAAAACAAACGTGGCCACAGAAGTATCTGGTGTGTAGAT